CATTTATTGGGGATAAGAGGGAGAAAGAAGAACCAGATTTTTCAAACTCATTCAAATTAACCTTTTTTTCTTCTCCTGTTCTTTTTTTTTTCTCCAGGAACTTGAAATTTTTGGCAACTTCAAAAAAACCCCACTTCTTAGAGTTCAGCTGCATATCTTTTTTGTCATTGTTTTGGGGGATTTTTTTGTTGTTGTTTGATGTTACATGGCTACAAGAGCCATTGAGACTACTCAGAGAACGACATTCAACAGTTTCTGCACTTTTTTACTGAATAGCAGTTCCTCAATAAAACCTTATCACAGTGTCAGTTTTAACTTGACTTTATAGCGTAATTTGTTTTCAGTCGCAGCACAGTATTAAACTTGTAGGTTTCTTTAAAATACGGAAGCTAGGTAAGACTTGAAGGAAATACACCTTACAGAATCATGGATCCATTAAAAAATTCTGAGTTGTAAGGGACCCATCAGCTGTGTTATGTTCCCAGTGACTTGTGGCAAGTTGAAGTCCTGCATAAGGAGAAGGGCAGCTGAGCTGGAAGTGTCCCTTAGTTCCTCAGAGAGCCATTCCTCAATGTCATCATCCTGGTCTATAGTAGATTCCCAAGGTGACATTGCATTATTTGTATTTCCTTTGATTCTTAGAGGCTTGCAACTGTGCCATTGCCAACTGTAGGCTCTGTACATTCCATCCCTGCATGGCTTACAATGCCACCCCGGCCACTGCTGCCCTGCCCATCCCTCCTGAAGGGCCTGTGACCAACAGGGCACTCCAATCACAGGACTAAGCCCACAGTTTCACTACACCAGTGATATCAAATCTCTGGGGCTGGACCAAAGGCTTGAGATGGTCTTGTTCCTCGTGCTTTGTGTATTAGTGTAGAAACAATTTCAGCTGTGGTGCTTTGCAGCCAACAAACCTGAAGGAGATGGAGGGATCCCATTAGTTTTCTCAAGTTCTTGCATACCATGCCATTGCTCCCCAGAGGCAAGCCTGGTGTTGTTCCTTTTCGCCTTCCAATTTCTGTCAATGAGCCCTGCTGGCTCCTGTGCTAGAGCTCTTCCCCACCCTCCCCTCAGTGCATCTCATCAGGTGTCAGTAGAGCAGGTGTTCAATAGAACATCCCATGGTAAAAAAAAAAAAAAAATTTTTTGGAGATATGTGTTGACCTGGTGGATCTGCCTATTCCTGTCAATATTCGTTGTTACCAAAAGTATTATGGAAATTGCTACATGTGCTTCTGATGCTTCAACCTTCAACCCAAAGTCCTGAAGTCTCTTTTGATTGTCCTTGGAATTCTCTTTGCTTTTTCATCACTGCTGTCTTGAAGAACCAATAGTGGATAATAATCAGAGGGCATTGCTAGACTGGAGAGTTTTCCAGTAATTTCTCTTACCCATGCCTCTGGGAGCCAGCAGAATTCCCCATGAGTTGGGTCTGGTGTTCATATCAGGCTGTCCCTCACCTCCCTCACCTTAGAGGGAGTTTCCTATTACTGCTGCCCTTCTTTTTGTGTTATCAGAGGTCATGATGCAGGGTACAGGAGGTGTTGCTTTAGGAGGGCCCTGTGTCCCAGTAGGTCCTTTGCCCACCTCATCATCTGGCCCTGTTCCAGAGCCTCATACTTGTTGCAGAAGGTTCCAGTTCTACATGTTTCCAGGAGGAGGAGGAACCTCCTCCCAGCATGTGGAGTGACCTGCTTCCAGCCTTCATCTTGAGCAGACCCTTGACTAAAAGGCCCTTGACTAATTACCCTGCAGGGTTCTGAGTCCACCTGCTTCTCCACTACAATGGAGGTTCAAGACTCCTGGGAGTCTTGATACTGTGGCATCCCTAAATAACCTATCTCACTTGTTCACTCGAATACCACATAGCCTGTTCACTTCCTCCTGAAGCCCCTTCACCTGGTGACAGCTCCTCAACCACAGCACACCTTCTGCAAAAGAGCTTTTGTCAGCCCCAGCCTCTCAGGCATCAGGCACTCCTGTGACCTGCAGAGCTGCCTCTGCCCTCAGCACTCCTGGCTGTCCAGAGGCCTCTGACAGCCGGTTCCGTGATCCAGCAGCTGCAGGGGAACGAGCTCTACGTGTCATCCACAACTGGGGAAGCTTCCACTGCTGCACAGGTACAGCTGGGGCTGAAGGGATCTTTTTGTGCTCTTCTTCACCAGGCACTGAGTCTGTTTCCCTCTCCTGGCAGACCTCGGGCAGCCCAGGGTAATGCCAGCGGCTGTGAGGAGGTTACTGACAGAGAGGACCAGGCTTTTTGTTAATGTGCATGCTGCAAGAGACAGACAGAGGTCATCCACTGAAATGGGAAGGTTCTGGCTCAGCAAACCAGTAAGGATTGTTCATGATGAAGGTAAGAGGTATTTGAGCATGTTACACAAACAGGCTGTAAAATCTCTGTCCTTGGAAGTTTTTGGAGTCTGTTGAATAGACTCCTGCATCTCCTTCAAGCAGGGAGCTGGGCAAGAGACCTATGAAGGTTCTTGCCCATCTGAACAATTCTGTAATTCAAGGTACTTACACCTTTAGGATTATGTGAAGATACTGGGGGGCACCTTACAAAGTGCATGCTTGGCAAAACTTGTCTGGAACCAGCAGGTCGAGGGAGGTGGTTCTACTGCTCTACTCTGCTGTTGTGAGATCCTGCCTGGAGTACTGTCCCCAGCTCTGGGGTCCTCTGCATTGGAAGAGCATGGACCTGTTGAAGCAGAATTAGAGGAGGCCACAAAGATTCTCAGAGGGCAGGAGAACCTCTGCTGTGGAGACAAACTGAGAGTTGTGACTGTTGAGTGTTGAGAAGGCTCCAGAAAGACCTCATGGCACCTTCCAGTACTTAAAAGGGCTACAAGAGAACTGGAGAGGGATTTTTTTACTAGGGCCTGCAGTGACAGGACAAGGGAGGGTGGCTTTAAACTGACAGATATTAGATTTAGATTAGATATTAGGAATAAATCTTTATTGTGAGGGTGATAAAGCATTGGAATAGGTTGCCCAAAGAAGTTTTGGACACCCCATCTCTGGAAGTGCTCAAGATCAGGCTGGACGGGGCCCTGGGCAACCTGTTTTAATGCAAGATGTGCCTGCAGGGGGTTGGAACTGAATTATCCTTATGGTCCCTTTCAACCCAAACCATTCTTTGATTCTAGGACATGACCATGAGCTACATGTCAAGCTTGACTCGATTTTATGATGAAATTGGAGTAGGTTTTAGACCTTTTTATAGTATGAGATAAAACGGCATTGCATTATTTCCTACTGATTCTCTTCAGTATCCAAAAAAAACCCAAAAATGGCAAGGGTGCAGAGGCAGGAAAGAGTAAAGCATTTATCTTCATTAGTCTTCTATAATGAGTTGTGTGGAGAAAAGAAATTAAGGAAAATTAATGCATGCCTACTGAGCTAACACTTCAGTTTTCTCCCAAGCTTTTATAGACTTACTTGAAATATTGGAGGACATGGCAACAATTCTGGTCTTTTGTTCAAATCAGTACTTTGAATTTATTCTAATCTACCACTGTACTTGATGAAGATGTGTTCCTAACTATATAATTATTATAAGCATATTTTCATAGTGGAGAATTAATTCTGAATAAACAATTACTGAAGCCCTTGCATGGATGCACTTATTTTTGCAGTGATCCTACTAAGGTCTCAAAACGATCATATTCTTGGTTCTTTAAATACAGAGTTTAATGTAGTGGCTACCTAGAGAGAAGATTGCAGTGCTGATGCTGCATTTTTGAGTTTGACTGTGTTTTTGAGTTGTTGGTCATTTTGGGTGGGAGTGCATTGCTTAATGCTGCACTAAAGTAAATGGAGCCTGTCTAGACACATAAATTCAATGTGCAGGGAAACACAGAATGAGAAATTGCTTCTCATGTATGTAAACCAGAGGCATAAAATCTGAGAAGTATTCAATGTGGGCATATCATTCTCAGAAGTATGGAATTTCTAGAATGTGTATTTTAAGTTATGCCAAATGCATGAAGTACACTCCTCCCTTATTTGCTCAGACTATTATACGTGTAGCCTAAGTACAATTCTGGTGTAGAAAATGTAGTTGACATTTCTGGTTTTGCTGTTTGGAATACAAAGCAACCCAAAAATGACAGTATGGCTTTGGTTTTGGCAGCCATCGATTCTCTGATCCCCACCCACCACAAATCTTAACAAGCTGTTTTAAAATGCTTTTTGTTGCTTGTTTTCTTTTCCCTTTAATTTTGAGATGAGCTTTGCTTTTTAAATTTGAAAATACAGAGAATTATTTGGTTTGTGTCATGTTTTATTGGTTGATTTTTAGCTATTAAATGTACGGTCTTGTTTCTTCATAAGGTAAGGAAGAAATATCAAACATGCAATTGTAAGGTGTTCAGATTGCTTTTTTTTTTTTTTTTTTTTTTTTTTTTAATCCAGCAAGAAACCACCTGTTTAAAGCATCAGGGAAATGGGGCATAGGAAGGTTTTTCATCTGCAATTTCTGCAGTCTGATAGTTCTTCATTCTTTTCCAGGACTGTGCAGAATTTGTCACAGGATAGAGAGAAACTTGATTTGTGCACATAGAACTGAAGAGGAAGTTGGTTCTCCTCACTATTCCTCCTTTATCATCATACTTCATGGTTAATGTATCAGTAGTGATTTTTAACATCATGTCTGTTTATATTAAACACAGAGTAGTTTAGTGTCAGATGGTAAGAGAGAAGTCTCTGACTTCAGGAGGGAAAAACATTAAAAACCAGGTTTAGGCCGAGCAAATAAACTGTATTTCACTTACACAGCTTAAAAATCAGCACAGGTTTAGTAGCTGTGCTGGTAAATCTTAGCAGTAGCATCTTAGAGCATCAACAGCTGCTCCAGTCTTAAATACAAGAACTACAACTTTTGGTTTTGTATAATATGACTCTTCTAGTGAGTGAGTGTAAAGTAGTTTTCTTCATGCTTCAGTAATGAAATACATATTTCCCAGTGTGCAGTGACAGATAATTAAAGAGATTGAACTTTTTCTTTTTTTATTACCATGCTGAAGACATGAAATAAGAATTAGGGGAAAAGGTCAAATGTTATAAATTTATTTTGGGACATATATATTGCAACCTCTGTGGAAGCTTTTGAAAATTCTGGCAAAGATCAATACACTTCCAATAAAACCTTTAAACTTGCAATAAAACAATATTTTAAACATTATATATATATATATTTATATATATTCTTAATTAAAGGGTTAATTTTAGCAGGATTTTCTTTTTTTTTTTAATATACTGCATTCCTCTGACATAGCTCTTTCCAGATTGAAGGGATGCAAATGAGGTAAGAATTAAGGCAAACCTAAAAGGCATGCAAATGAAGTACATTTATATCCACTGACAATACAAGCACGTGTGGATCAGACTTGGGAGCCGAGAAGCTCTTCCCTCCTGTCTGTCCAGTACTACTTTACAGCAGAATGGTGACATGATTTATAATAAACAGTTAACATTACCATGGGAATTCAGTGTCACTAACATTACTCAGTCTAGGAGACACAGAGCTAGCATCAGTAAAACATGAACAATAAATAATATAATTCACTGCAGCACAGGCCTGCTGCACAGGATTCAGAGGAAGAGGGTTGTTATGAAATGACATTGCACACGTCACGTTGTGGCAGTTTATTTTTATAATATATACTTTTAAAATTCTTTAGCAAATGACATTCTCATGCACACAAGTGTTTCAAACACAAGAAGCAAGTCCATTTATAGGTAGTCCAAGCAAATTTTTGTGTGTGTGGAAATAGCTGCAAACTGAATGGAACATTAAACTTCTGTGCAGTCTATGACGCGTCGTACACAAGCTCATTTTTGAATGTCACACTGCAGGAGTAATACAATGGACGGATCACTCTTTGCAGCTTCTTTGAACTCATCCAGTGTGATCTGATCGTCTTTGTTCTTATCCATCTTACTGAAGATCTTGTCTACCCGTTGCTCAGGCGTCAGACCATCCTCATTCATTTTCATCATTATCACAGTGCCCACCATTTTGTAGATGGCCTTTGGAAAGAAACCAAATGGAAAATTCAACATGAAATTCAATCTAAGTTTTTCATGTGATCAAATTCTGGAAATATGTTCTAAGCATAAAATGATTGCAAGTTTCTCTAAAGATTGGTGTGGGGTTTTTGCTTTCTTAGGATCCAAAATCCAGATACTTAAAACAAGGAAGAATATATTTTACTTTCTTTAGATGTAGGTTTATTTTGATGGTTACATTTTGCATCCCAGAATGAATTTCTTTGGCTTCCTGTTTCACAATGTAAAACTCTTGTAACTTACTCTCTGAGTCAATTGTTCAGTTAAAATATTTCACATAAATTCTGAACAATTTGTTTTAGAAGTCACCACCCTTCAGTAGGTTTCTGTGTGTACATGAGGGCACAATCTGGTATTAACTGCTGTGGCAAGTTGCCGGCAGATGACGAAGGTGATAAACTTTATCCTTCCTCTTACAAGTTGTGGTCTTCTTAAAGCCCATCTGTGAGAGCTCACTTAAAATAGAGTGTTGTTGTCCCTGTAAATTTCTGTAATCATCTGAAGTTAATCTCCAGTAAGGCTTCAGCTACTTCAGCTACAGTTCAATAATTTCATGGGTGTCAAGTGACTGAGATGGGCTTTGTAAATCCTGTGCTGTTCTTGTGATTAATCCATTCATCAGGGGAAAAAAAAATCTCAGGATATTTAAAAGCTTATATGCACATATGTACTCTTTGCAATTCTCCAAGATTAAATCTATTAACAAACACGTTAGTGTGCTTGTACCACTTGGGCACCAGTCAATGCAGGATTAACGTCTGTAATGTGCACTTAATGTACTGTACAGCCTCTGGTGAGCCTAAAATCTAAAGTCTGTGGGAACAAGGAATCAAATTTTATTAACATTGTGATGTTTTTGAGTGTCATATTGATCTCACCTCTATAATTTCCAGCATTTCCACTCTTGTAATTTTACCATCACCATCCAAGTCGTACATGTTGAAGGCCCAGTTCAGCTTTTGCTCAAAACTGCCTCGTGAGGTGATGGACAGGGCACAAATGAACTCTCTGAAGTCGATGGTCCCATCTCCGTTTTTATCAAAGGTTCGGAAGGCGTGCTGGGCAAACTTAGAAGCATCTCCATATGGAAAGAACTGCAAAATAAAATAATATATAGAACTGTGTTAATGCAAAGAAGAGAGCTGTGCATGTGACTGCAGAACACCAAAGTGAGGCATTTATAAAGAGTGGCTGGTGAGCTTTGTGGGAAACTGAGGATCTGCAATGTAAGGTTCCCTTACTGGAATGATTATTAAAAACTTATTTCTATAAAAATTGCTCAAGTTTCCACAAGCTATAATACAAATATATATAATGCTACTTTAAAGTTAAATTAAGTAGATGACTCTTAAAATGATTTTGAGTGTAAATGGTTGATTGTGTGTAATATTCTCTGACTATGAAATAAAGAAGCTAGGATGCATTCTAAGAGAATTTTAACCAGCCCTTGACATATTGCAAACAAGTATATGTGTAGGATTGTTGTTATATAACTTCATTTATTTTAAAAAAAGTAATCCACATGTAGCATAAAAAACCCACATGAACATATGTTCCATTCTGCAAACCAGCATTCAAGTACACAAGATGAAAACAGATTCAGTTAAACAGTATAGTGCAATGCTTTTCATGTTTAATATCCTAATATCCTTCAGTGAACACTGCAATTGACTGTAGCTTAACAGAGTATTTTAAATGACTATAACATGTAGGTTTTCAGCTGATATATTTTCCCCTCAGGAAGTGTATGGTTTATGAGCAGGTAGTTGTTATTTCTGTGGGCCAGACTCAAGAAAACACATCCCTAAAGAAAGGGAGTTTTAAACCAGTGCTAAAGTCCTATTGCAGTGCAGGGACCATACACAAACAATGATTGTTATTATATTCCCAGCACAATTTCATGGAGGTTTTCCTGCTCCTAAAATATAAACATGCATTACTCTCCATGAGAGCCATCTTATTTTGTTCTTTTTAAAATTCCAATTCTTATTAAGTACTGCATTTATAATATAAGCTTGAAGGAAAGTCTTCAGTGGCAGCTGAAATGGAGCTGCATTTTACAATTTTCCATTTCCCCATCCAGAGCTGTGTCTTGCCTTAAAAATGCAAAACTTAGAGCTCAGCCAGCTGCTTGCACTATGTGGCCATGTGGAACTTGTCAGGAGTCACTGCTGTGTTGTCACAGGGACCTCAACCTGAAAGTTTCTTTTCAACTTTCTGTTTTCTCTGAAAGAGCATTTGTTATTGTCTCCTCCTGAAAATGTAACTTCTGTGCCTGTACTCAATCCAACCTTATTTCTGTTTTGATAATCATCACTGATGGAGAGGTTGAGGTGCTGCTGCAGATCCTTCTGTACTTTCTGCTTTCTGGCCATTAAAAATGATCATGGTTGGGCTCATCAACAGATACAAAGATATTTGGGTTCTCTGATACAACTCAGGATTTCAGTGGCTGCAGTTACCAGACCTTGCTCAATTGTTCTTCTAGTGACAACCTCAACCTTTTCTAAAAGCAAGGAGAGCTCCCTCCATGGGAAGGCTCCTTGGGCTCACAGCCTGGCATTCAGGGTCAGAACAATGTTATCCAAAACCTGAATGTTATTTTCAGGTTCCTCATTGCTTCCACTTGCCCATGACCCAGCTCCCCCTCTAATTCCTGTTCCAGGTCCGAATGTTAACATAGGTGATATTTAATTTTATGTACATGTGTAGAATGTGCCCTTCTCAGTCCCCTGCTGAGAGGTTAAGAATTGGCTCTCATGGCCTGTATTCCGCCATGAATTCCATGTCCCCCACCTTTTATTCTTGAGAGTTTGCTGGCTGTTCAAAGCTGAAAGGACAAATCTTTTGCTTTTTAAATCTGTGCTGATGACACTGTCATGTGACACATGTGTAACACAACAAAACACTTCAAAATTTTACAGTCTTTCCAAGTACTTTTTCTCAGAACTGACTGCTGCTGAGGATGCTGCCTGATCTCTCTGTTCCTGTGACTGTCACTGTACAGTCTCCATAAAAGAAAGGTAAATAACTGGAGGGAACTGAGACTGTTCTTTTCATTGCCCAGAAAACCAAAATACAGAAATGGTGCAAACATACTGGTGAGACCAAAGAATGAAAGTACAATGGAAAAGCAAGCCTACACAAAAGGTGAAGAAGTGTCAGACACCCAAAAACATGTAGGAGTCCAAGAACAAAGTGGAGAATTAGGTTGGGTCAGTGGCTGGAGATCCTGAAAACCATTTTTAAGTTGTTCTAGAACATATTTTTCAGTCTCCCACTGAAGGAGCATCTGCAAGCTGTGCCTACCTCTTTGCTGGTCAAACCATTAGCCTCATTAGCAGTTAGAAAAACATCCTTCTAATTTTTTTTTATCACAGACAAGACCATGCTTTTTTTTCTTTTTTGAGGTGAAGAAGATAGTGGCACTGCTCAGCTAAGTCTTGGCCTTTACAGCATCAAATGGAACTGTTACCTGGTTTTAATTTTTCTTCCTATTTGTCTTCCTGTAGGGAGTAAATGCAGGAAAATGTCCTTTAGGGACTGAAGGCACTGTTCTCCAGTCTGTACCTGCTGATGTGTATTATTTTTAGCTCAGAACAACCCAAAAACATTGTCAAAACTTGTTTAAAAACCTACTTGAAGATTTCCATTGGCCTGTTTTGAAACTATTCATAAATAAGACATGAAATAAAGAAAACTAAAACAATTACAGAGCAAAAGATGCCAGCTCTGGTAAAACATTGTTTGACTATTAAAACACAGTGAGGCCTTAGCAAAGTATAAAGGCTCAGGCTTTAATTACTTTCAGAGCAGCCTAAGCCAAATGGCAATGGGAGACAGGGATCTCAGGAAAGAGAAACACCAAGTTTTTGTCAGAGGGAACATGAGGAGGGTGGTTTAGTTTGCCTCTTGCATGAGCTCAGTGAATAGTTCAGAAAAAAAGTAAAGAAACACAACTGGGATTTTCAGTGCTCCATGCAAAGCCTTGACCAGGTGATCAATCCACATATGAAAGCAATGAGTTCCCATCTACTGCAACCTGCCACTGAAAAGGGCACTCCATGCACCAGCACTGGTTTAGCCTTTTCCTCCAAAAATCAAGACAAACTATACCAGCCAGTTCCATGGGTGACCCAACACTGCTCATTCCTTTGTTTCTGCTTCTCTAGCCTCATCTAGTGAAAGGCCTCCCTGGTCTAGAGAAAGGTGTCCCTGCCCATCCCAGGAGGCTGGAACTAGATGATCTATAAGGCTCCTTTCAACCCAAACCATTCTAGGATTCATTTCTTGCTTGGTCTGTGTATTTTCTAATCAGTTAGATCAACATGCTGGGGTGTGAACAAAGTGTTATCCCTACAGTCAACTGCCAATTAAGAAAAGTAATAGGAAGATTTAAGAAAATTCATTTAATCTGCTTCTAAATTTTGTATGAGGATTTTCTTTCAGATTCTTAGCTCCCATTGTGTTTCTGGACACATTTCTGGTGTATGGGGGCATTCAATCAGGCCTGGAATCAGCATATCTAGCGAATAACACCTACAAATTGTACATAACTCTTGGGGAAACTGATCAAATACCTGGAAATATTTATCTGCTTGGCTGCAGCTGCTTTAGCCTCTTTGAAGTGATGCTGTTCACAGGCAACCTAGTGATCAATTAATTCAGATCATCTTTGGGAGGGAATTAATGCAAAAGCAGGAAGCATATGCTAAAGCATATGGCTAAAATTTTAGCACGTGGCTAAAACAAAATTTTAGCATGGTTAAAGAAAAAAAAACCCAAATCGACTTCCCCAAATTCCCCCATGATAGGAAGGGGTTAGGAAAGAAAAGGTCTCTCCATGCTTAATAGGATGGGGTAGAGTGAATCTATAGACTGGCCTGAGTAGTGCTTTGTTTTCCACATGTTGTTTTATCATGGGATATTGGGATGAATTTCTATTAACAGGGAAATTCTGCTATAAAATAGAGAAAACTAGAATTTCACTAGTGTACAGAAAGCAGGGCACTCTGCCTACACATGCCCAGGTGACAACTCTGTCACTGATGTAAGGTCACAGCTTCCAGAGCTGGTGTGGGAGCTGGAGGTGGAAAAGCAGGAGATGGCACAGGGCTTCTGTACCCCAGGCTTGGAGAGGATGGAAGAAGCAGCTCTGATTCCCCTACCAGAGCCCATCTGGGGCTCAGCACCACCAACTCTGCTGAGAGCTGAAGCAGGGAAGGGGAATGAGGGGGCACAGCCAATGCAAGGAGCAGAACAACCACTGTCAAGGGTCAGCACATACAAACAAGCCAAGCAGTTGGCTTTCATGGGAAAAACCTTAAACATTTGATGCTGTTATGGTTTAGGAAGGAGTTACCTACCCTTCTTATCCACTTTATTAGTGTTTTATTTTGTAAGTCTGCTAAGCATCCACACTGTCTTTGTAAGTGAAGAACAAGATGACTTTGAGAATCAGAAAGTTTGGCTGCTTTTGGAAGCTCAGACAGGTATCTTTTAATAGGAAACCTCTTAAAGTTGAACCCAGATGCAGTTAGCTGTTGGTCTAGCCTGGTCTTACAGCTCCTCAGAACTGAGCTCACTGGGGACGATGGGGATGATAATGGGGAGAACATTTCTCCTCACTAATTTTCCAAGATGAAGTTCTGGATTCCTGCCAGCAGCACAACACAGGAGTTGATGAGATAAGAAAAAAGATTACTCTTTAGCTGTCTCCTTTAGGAAAAAAAATAATTGAAATTTACTCCAATGCACTGTACCTTGCAGTTCTATTAAGGCAACAGAAGAGGAAGAGGAATCCAGGCTGTGACTGCCAGGACCTGCTGGGAAGGCTGTGCCTCTCTGGTACCAGGGTGACCTGCAGGGCTGCAGCCTGTCCCTGCCACCACCTCTTTGTAAAAATGAAAACTCATGTAGCAAGGGCAGAACTAAAGAACACAAAAAGACACAGCCACACGTCTGTCCTTGTTCTGGAAGAGACCTGACTGCTGCAGTCTCTACCACATCTGTAGTGTAAGGTAGAAATATCCCACCTAAGGCAGAAATATCTCAGACACCTGCCTTCAGCCTGCCAGAGGGTCCCAAGGAGAAG